TAATAGATAAAAAGGCAGAAAGGAGGAACAGGGAGGAGGGGGAGGAGGATGTGCTAGGAGAGGAAAACAAACAAGCAATAAACCCATAGGAACAAAGGCATCACAGAAACTAATCCAGGTAACGGGATAAAAATCCATAATCCGTGTTTAAATCATGCTTAACAGTCCAGCCTGTAGATGATTTCTTGTTCTTGAATTTCCCATTCAAATAGGTTTTTAAAGGTTTGCTGCCTAAGAAACTGCCATTCTCAGGTCAGTAATGTAGTGTCCACGGTGGTTAAAGTGTTCTGCCACAGGCCTGCGTGTCTTTCTGTAGATATCATATCAGTGTTCATTCATTCTTTCACATAAGGCTTGTTCCATCTGTCCAGTGCAGACAACAGAGGGTTACTGTGAGCAGGTGATGGTGTATATGGCATTGGTAGAGTGGCAAGTGAATGAACCGCAGGGTTAGGGACAGAAGTTACACATAGACCAGTTCAGTGCACATAAACCAGTTTCAAAATGGCTGAAACTGGTTTAAGATAAACCTAGTTGAATGTAGTGTCAGACTTAACAGATTTGGTTCAAACCAGTTTATGAAACTTCTGTCCCAGACCCCTTCCTGGGTCAAGTTAAATCAGAGTCCCCCAGCATCCCAGCATGCTTTCCAGTCTTGGGCTGGGCTGAGCTGTCTGCTCCAGAGAGTAGGGCTAGCCCTGTCCCTCTGTTCCATTGCTGAAGCAGTGAGGGCTGGCTCGCTGGCCTCACTGGCTGGCTCGCTGCTCCCCCACCCCTGCCAAAACCCTGCTGGGGTCTGGAGCCAGGGAGGGGTGTTAAACTCCTTTCCCCTGAGTACGGAGCTGTCCTGACCTGCTTACATAGTGCTAGCTGTGGCTGTGGATTACAAATCCCAGAGGCACCTGGAAGCAGGAAGAGGAAGTGAACACACTGCCCATGCTGGCTATGTGCCAGAGAGCTGTGCTGTAGCACCTCCTGGCTTCTGACTTGAGCAACTGCAGGCATGTGGATGGATTTCCTGAATCAAAAGTGAATGTCTGCTCATTTTGCTTATTGGTTCAATCTTTGCAGCCTAGACTAATTTGCAAAGACTGAATCAATTCAGCTTTGGGGTTTTTGACTGCCTGTACGTAGCTCAGATGTTATAATCCATGTTATTCAGTCCAGTGATTTAACCTCCGTGGAGCCAAGGCTGGAGATACTGCCACTGCGATCACTGCTGCGTAGCTGGGTGTAATCCAGCGCAACAATGTGCTCTGTGTCCCAGGGCCAGAGCCAAAGGGTAAGTAGTGTGGGGGGGGATAGGGAGGAGGTGGCAGGCAGCGGAGATGACAGAGATAGTGGTAAGGGGCGGAGGGGGCAGAGGCGGAAGGCTAATGGAGGTGATAGGGGGGAAGGGGTGGGCAGCAACTGCAGCTCCAGCTGTTGGCCAAAGTGAGAGCTGCAAGCCACTGTTAGATGGAGAAAAACCTCCTTTTGGATTCAAGTAAATAAAGTGTATATGTGTATGTGTACAACTATATTACACACACACACACACACACACACACACACACACACACACACACACACACACACACACACACACACACACACTTTGGTTAGTGTATAAGGTGCAAATCTAACCTCCCTTATGTCACTGTAGGACAAGCAACTGTTACACAATAGGGTTTGTTAGTAATATTCTACTAGCACAGCTATATTTCCAAAGGGAAATATTTGAAGCATTGGTGGGTCATGTTATAACACAATATTGATGCAACTTTTGCATTTTATTGGTACAAATCCAGAGCCTGGTTCATGTTCTTTTCTACTCCGGCAGTCATACTGATATCAATGGAACGACTTGTGAAGGATCATAGACTTAAAATCAGTGGCAGCAAACTAAAAACAATGATAATACCTAAAGCCTACATCTTAGAACTGTTAGTGTTGAAAGAACTGACATACACAACCACGAGTCCATTAGCAAGGAAAGCTAAGAAATCTATTAAACTGGGGATGCCCCTGGATGCCTGGAAAATGGGGATCAGTGCACAAATTATAAGAGGTGTAAGGAACTAGCCAAAAGAGAGACAGCAAGTTGTGCTGAAAGGAGAACTACTCAGTAAAAGGGAGGTTAGAAATCCTTTTTTAACATTTTCATTATTACCTTGTCCACAAAAGGCAGGCACTTACTAATACAAACGTAGATGGAAAAAAGTTAGGAGGCTTCATCAATATGGAAAAGAATTACAGTATCCTAAATGAAGAACTGAATATCCTTTGAAGACTGAAGCAGTAGAAATGCAGTGGGCTGTAAGAGTGAAACATGTAAGATCATATCCCTAAAAACTAATAATTTCTGCTCCAAGCTGGGGACTTATTAACTGGAACTGATAGAGGAGGGAAAAAAGCTTAAAAGAGCCTATCTTAAGAAAGGAGACTAGAAGAGCTTGACTTGGTTAGTTTAGCAAAATGAAGGCTGAAAAGGGAGGACATGATTGCTCTCTATAACTACACAAAGAATAAACACCAGGGAGGCCTTGTTGTGAGGTAGAATTGTGCAATCCTTCTGCTTCTAGACAGCTTCTGGACTCTAGTCCCCTGCAATTACCTCAACAAGCCTGCCTTAACCTTCACACCTGCAGTTCTGTTCCCTCTGGTATTCTCTACAGACTAATAATCTCTTAAAGCAAACTAGTATTTATTTAGATCAAAAGCATTATAAAGAAAACAGATCTTAAAGCAACAAGAAAACATGCATGGATATTTGCTTCTCCTTGAGGCTTATGGTTCCCTGGCCTGGGGAAGAGGCTATACTTTCACATATCCAATCTCAACCTGTCCCCGGGGAGAGCATCTGACAATTCATCGGCAACCTTCTTTCCAGAGATGGGCTTTTGAACTGTTTAGTGTTCTTTTGATCTTTGGCCTCCCAGCCTTGCAAAACAAGGCTTGTATCTTTGGAGGAGACATGGTCCTCAAAGCTAATTGTTTTACCCATTGCCTTTCAAGTACATGATGGAATGTTTTTAACTGGGCAGCCAGTGTTTACCTTTTGGCTTTTTTCAATAGCAACCTATCAGCCTAGGTCAGTACATTCATTCAGGAAAATTTTACAAGCCACTGTGCACTAATATTACTGTTCAAGTCACAAACCATATGTGTAATATTACTTCATCTCAGCATCCTTAGATTATTACAAAGCAGCTCCTAAAATGATTCATAAAATTATTAGATTAGTGCATAACAACTCCATATCTGTAATAATTATGGTTTTCAATAGTGGGATTTTGTAGAAGAAATACTGGAATATTCTCCTCCCATTTTATGCTGGACTCTTTCAATAACTGTTATAGGAAGGTACAGCTGTATCATCTAATGCAATAAACCTCTTACATCTACAAATAAATATCTGAATCAGCAGATAAAAAAAGTGTAATTTTTTTGCTTGATTTAAATTAAACCATCAGCTTGTGTCAGCTATTTTGTTTAATCTAACTTGGACCCAGAAGACTAGATAATTTTTTAATAGCTCAAGTTGTGCAATTCAGGCTACTTGTTTTATACTATTGGGATTTGAGTGGTCTTGGTTAAGCTTTAAATATACTGCCTTGTAAATCTGAAAGTTTGTGTTTGTGCAATAGTTTAAGACTTTGTCTGCTGATTCAGCTGTTCAGAGTTCAGGGTAATTTGATTAAAGAAAGAGAATCACTTTGTAACTAGTGGAGAACAGTTTGAATTTGCTACTCCACAGACTCATTATATCATGGTTCCACAGGAGGACCGGGGGGAGGCAGGGGAAGAGGACCATGCACAGGTGCACTTGCACCTGCCTTTGATTCCTGGTTCATCCAAAGATTAAAACCAACTACTTGGCAGTGGCAGCAGAATGCCTAAAGGAAAGTGCTGAGGAAGTCAATTGACTTCATGGCCCATAATCTACCTGAGCTGTTCGAAACTCTTCATTCCATAGGTGTTAACCCTCTCTTAATGCTCGTCTTGTTCCAACAATCGAATTAGCCTTTGTTCCATATGTTTGCTGTCTGTTAGCTGTTCCTGGGAAGGAAGCTCCTATTTCACAGCCCTGTGTATTTTTTTTTTTTTTTCACTCATACCAATAAAGTTATATCTGTTTTCGCTTTAACCTTACACTGAATAATCCAGCCCTAGCCTATGAATAGAGCTTTTAGTTTCTTTTTAGCTGGGAAAAAAATGTGTTTTTTTTCATATGTGAAGG